ACACTTTAGACTTCTTATTTTTGCCTGTTATATTTAGCCATGTCAAGACTATCAACATGGCATTTGAAAGATCACATTTAGAAGATTCATTAGGGAGCTGGATATTTGACTTGCCTGTATTAATCATATTTTTCTTTCCCCTCAGAGTGGATGGAAGGAACTAATCCAGGTGAATCATCCTCTACACACGCCTTTGGATGAAATGAATCACTCTTGAGAGAGGCCTATGCCTCCCTGGCTGTAAAGGGAACCTAGGAAAACAAAATTTAGATAAACTATAAATACGGCCAACATTTTATTCCAAAATCATACTGAAGACAGATAAAAAATTCCCATTGCTGTCAGCTTTATCAAGCTTCCGTCCTTTGCTGTATGAAATGGCAGCTTTAGGACTATTGCCTCCAAGTATATGATAGTAATGTGCCTCAGCAAGGCATATAAGTATTTCTTTTAAAGCTGAAGGTGCTGGAAATCCAAGCAGCTGGTTTCCCTGGTTTATAATATGATTCATGCCTATTCGCTCATGAAAGCAATGCCATACTTACCGTTTGCATTCATATCTGGCTAATTCTATCCAAAAAACAAACTGAGTAGTGCAGAAGAGCTGTCACCTATTTTTATTTCAGTCTACAGTGAGTAGAAACACCAGAGGTAAAGGTCTGGCCTGTTGAGGTCAGTGAACCTTTTAACATTGACTTCAGTAGGACTGAGATTTTACCCTAAAAAACCTTCTCTCTCTTATGTGCAAAACCCTCAAACTATAAAAAGTACAGAGAGCAAAATACATCCGTTTCAAACAATTAACTGCCCATTTCACAATTCCGTTAACGCCAGCCCAGACTCACCTAGTTTGACAGTTCACAAAAACTGGTCTTAATATATGGATTTCAGTTAGATTTGAGAAGGGGACAGTGTATTTTACTGACACTGCAGCTGTTCAACAGCAACAATACCTAAACCTGCTGTAGTGATACAAATACACTGGGCTATCAGTGAAGTGATAATTTAAATGAAAGGTCTTAGAGAAATTAATAAATGCTGTTAGCTGAGATGATACTGTTTTTCTCATCCATGAATTCTAATGATAAGCTTAAACAATTTTTAGAATCCTATGGTAAATTTGTAAACAAATGAATCTGCTTTACATGGAAAAATGATGAGGATTGCCTATGAATATATGTCGTGGAAACAGGGTTACATAATCATTTAATAGCTACGCTATTGCCTTCATTAACTAATACAAGTCAGGAAACATATCTCTGGCTTTTTGTTCTTAGAATAGTGGATTTTGGAAGTATAATCTTTGAAACAGCATCTAAAATGAATGCAAAGTTTAAATATGTCAGTGATCACCCTTGTACAAGTCTGTGGATAATATAATTGTTGCTTAAATGTTTTAATATCCATATTTTTATACTATATATGTTCTCCAAGCAAATTTTGTCACCATAGGATTCAAAAGTAACACTACAGAATTGGTACTTTGGGGCAAAGTTCAATTTTATTTAAGAAGCTATTTTATGAAGTTAATGAGAGAGAGAGAATTTACTTCATCAAAGATGAAATAAAGAGAATTTATTTCATCATTGAAGTTCAGTCAAGCTTTGGATGAAGTGCAATAATCGTTCTCCATTGGCAGTGCTACAATGAGAGCTTACATAAACAAATGAAGAACCGTTTCTCTATCTTAAAGTGAAAGGAAGATTTTTATGCACTATAGTACTTGAAAGTCATTCACTTCATTAGGGAAAACTGTATTAGCCCCAGGAAGATTATACTGACAGAGATGTAAGAGGTTACCAGATTAATGTTTTATATTAAAGACAGAGGTTTGCTTTTTGGGGCAGGGGGTAAGGGGGCCTAGGTCTGAAGAATTAAGTTAGAGGTAACTAGTCATTGCACTAGAGTCACAGATATTTACCCTAAACAGAACTATTCGTTTTCTAGAGATACAGCAGGCAGTAGCTACTTTAGTGTTTCTATTGAACAGAATTAGAGTGTAGAATTGTGGCCGTGTTGTGAAGCTATTAGGTACATCTGAGAGCCATTTAAATGCAAATAGGATTTGAGCTGTTTGTCAGTGACTAAAAACAGTCTTCCAGGCAACTGCCTTAGTAATTAGAAACCATCTGGTATCATGAAAGAATATAATACTTTTATATAACCACAGGCGAAAAGGATTCATTTTATCTCCTACAACAATAGAAACACTTATGTTTGTATGTTAGAGCTCTAACAATTAATATGCAAAATCAGCTCCATCTTGCTATTTTTCCTCTGGGTCTCTGCTGGAAAAGAAATAAATGAAAAGCGTGGAAGTGAGAGTGCCAAAAAAACCTACAAAAAGACATTTTAAGAACAAGACATGCTAACAAATGAGTACCTGACAAAATGAAGGAGCCTTGCTGAAAGGTTCTTTTTGCCTGGTAAGACTGTGAAAGACATAAACAAAAAAAGAAGTTTGACTGTTTACCTGTCAAATCTCCTTACAAAATTATGTTATTTACTTTCAGGGTGTGGTATACAGAGATGGATTCAAAGTAGAGCAGTTTATTTAAAACTTCTCTCTTCTCTAGCCCTCAAAACTTCAGATTTTAGGATTTTAATGCTGCAGAGATTGAAATGAAAATTCTCTTACTCTACTCTTAGTCTACTAAACCTGATACCTTTCACTATCTTTCTTTCCAAGCTAATATATCCTAGGGAATAGATGGGTACATTTTTCTTTATTTAAAAAAGGGACCTCTTCAGTGTTAGCGAGATTAAGTGACTGGTTAAATACTGATACCAGGTAGTTAGAGAAAGTTAAACTGATAGTTGCAGTAGTCCTCTTCTTCATATCTCATCACTTTCTACATCACACTCACATCACATTTACAATTTTCAACTCAGTTTAGCATTTTGCAGCAGTTGATCACAATACCCAATTTGCAGTTATTGTCAGTTAGAGAGTCCCATTGTAGTCACTCAAAGGACGTGATTTCTATGCACAGTGAAACTATTGAAACATCAAACTTTGTGTATCTATGCATCAAAATAAGAATGCAATCGTAGATTAACAATAGTTCTGATTAGCTTTCATGGGAAAGAGATCTAATGGAAACTAAATCACAGGCTATCAACCTACATATGCATCTTCTGCAGACCACGTTGAAACCTGTACCATCTTTGGTACAGTGTGCCAGACTGTATTTCTGGGACTACATACTACAGAAACTGAAGTTATTCCCACATGTTATTCCTATGTTTTTCAAAATCACATCCCTATTTGCTGTTCATATTTTTCACAAAAGAATTGCTTCCTTCTTTCAAATATAGAATACACCAGAAGTACTGAAATGGAGTTCCCAAAACAGTGAATAGCAAATGCATCAAGTGTGTGTGTGTGTGTGTGTGTGTGTATGTGTGTGTGTGTGTTTTCTGTGTGGCAAATTTCCACTGTTCAGCTAAATAATAGTATTTTTCCTTATGTATTTAGATGAGTACTGAAACAGAGATCTTCTTTCAAGCCCTCAAAACTCGAGATTCTCCATATCCTAGTGTTCTGAGACATACCAGCCCTCAACAATGAGATTAATTTACATGAATGTAAATCTGTTTAAGGCCATCAAGTTCAAATTGTAATAATTCTTCTGCTTGTTAGGTGTAAAGTCTTTGGTTAAGAGGTCTTGAATTTATTCCTCTTCTACTATGCATCCTTTCTATACAAAATCAGCTCTGTTACTGTTTAGCCCTCATAAAAGATGTCTGTCTATGGATTGGTTTATTGCCTTATTTCAATCATTACGTGGCAATATAAAAGAAATCAATACTGCTTGCTACCAACTACACTTCATTCAATATCCCTGTTGTAATAGCTATTCAAGTGATTAATTTTTGTATCATCATCTATTTGTTCTCCTTTAGTAGATGACAGGTTGAATTGCTTTTCTCTATACTTTTGAGTTATGGTCCTACGTATACCTTAAAAGAGAGAGAGCAAACCTCTATAAGCAAACCTCTATAGCCATTAAATTTTCCATAATTTTTAGTTAATTCTATTTGCAAAATTGCTTCTCATAATGGCTTCCTAACATTCAATCATTTCACCTCAGTTCTCAGCTAATGCACGTATATTAATTTGATAAGAGAAACTAGCAAAAGACTATTGATATATTTGAAACAGTGATAATTTTATAGATACCTATATGGCTAACATCTCTTAAGAGTTTCTTAAAAATAACACTAAGACCACTCTTAAACGGTCTCCGTGTAGATAGCATTAAAGTTCTAGAGATACCATGTAAAGTTTCTGCAGAACACTCCATCTGAGCTGGGACAATATGCAATTTACCATGCTACCAACGGTACGCTTAAGTGAATTCTAGCATTCTTTTATCTTTCTGTGTTATCTCAAAAATAAATAAATAAATAAACAAACAAGTGATTTGTTTTAGGCAGATACCAAAAAGGGAAGTTCACTGACATCCCTGTAAGTCACGCTCTTTAAATTATCACATTCTGTAAAACATAAGCAGATTTTGCTTTGCCAAGCTGAAGACGTAAATCTTTATCCATAATACTAAATACAGCCATTGGTTTATAATGTCACTCACTCACACGACTGGTTCTCCAGATCAGTCTTACATACACAAATAGTTTCCTTGCATGACTTTTCTTGTCAAAGTTGGTAAAAGCTTTATAGTCCATGCCCTTCATAATTTGCTAGCTTGGCTTTGCTAAAGTAATACTAAATAAAAAAGAAAACGTAATACTAATAATAAGGAAAACAATTTCAACACTTTTCAGTAGTGTGATCCTAGCATTTTTTTAACAGTATAAAGCGGCATACTACCAACATTCTCTTGCAAGTTAGGAAAAGAGAATCATTACAGCAGGCGCTATATTAACCATTTTGATCAATATTCTTTGGTGAAGAATAAGAACTAGCAGTAAGAAAATGATAAACTGAAGAGACTGTTAAATACAATAACAAGGAAATGTAATATTTATTAGGAAACTATACAGTATAATAGTAGCTTTCAAAAAACTGTAACCCAAGGTCAACTTGAAGACTGTATTTACAATTTAGGTATCCAGATTTACAGTTTGGGTGCATCATTATCTACAGTTATGCCAATCTGTCCAACAGGATATAACTTTGCAAAACTTAATGATGCACCTTTCCAACGGTCAAAGAGCCTTATTGACCTACCCAAGATTGTTGTCTGCACGAATGAAACCAGTCAAGTAGGGAGGGGCACATCAGTCAGGGAAGATACAAAATATCATAAGGGATACCTAATAAGAAGTGCATCTTTCTATGAGAAAATAAATTAGCAGAAAACATATCAAATAATTGAGCCAATTAAGATATATACTTTGGCTAAAATGTTTCCTGTGAAATTTGCATTAACTGAAGAGATTAAAATACTAAATTTCGAATGACAGCAAAGAGAATGGGAAAAAACATTTGAATTGGATATGAAAAGCAGAATTCTTGAGGAGTTCCACTATATCATTATCTTTCTAAAACAGATTTTTCAGATAGCTCCATTTCCCTTTCCAAGTTCCATTTCAGTCAACCAGCGTCTCCAGGTTTACGGATTTATTGGCGGAGAGTGAAGCCGCCTAGATGCCTCAAGGATCTGCCCCATACTATTTGTTCACCAGAAATTATTAGTTTTGTTGAAGATTATGTGAAGTTTGTGTTACAGATAACTCTTTCCAGGTATGACAGAGAGGAAATGATAATTTTTGACTGAATTTTCCTCAAGGTATCAGAAAATGATTGTTTCAGGTTTTTGGCCAGAAATGGCATCCTCATATCAAAGGACAAAAAGGAGAAGGAGGTAACAAGGGTGTCATTTGTTTTAGAGCCAAGAAAACTGATTGGCAGTGTCTAAGCTCTCTCACTATTGCAGTTACGACTGCTGGAAGTCCAGAGGTTTTCTTGACCACCCGGCTCCTGAGCCTCTTGCCTTGGTAACAAAGTTTTAGGGGTCTCAGTTCATGTACCTCAACAGAGGAGGGAGGGAGAAGCAAATTATACTAATAAAGGCAAACATTTATGTGCGAGTAAGTTGTATTTATTCCCTTCATAATCAGTGGAGAGATACAGATACTTCTTGAACACAGCTCGTCAGATATGTTTTAAACAACTGCATGAACATTAGAACATTTCTGCTATAAAAGTGCCCATACTATCTGAAAAGAAATTCCTAAGTGACTAGGTCAGACATAGAGATATGTCCTGCAGATATGTGAAGTCAGGCATCATGTAACTAATCAAGAATCTGAAGCCAAAAGCTTGAATCCATTGCTTAGTATGTGCTCCCAGACATTTAGGATTTCAGACACTTATGTGACACTTACATGACTTATATGGATTCAAGAAGTAGGGAGGAGGATTTAAATTTTTATATTTTCTCTTCAATTTGAGAAAGTTCTTTAAACTTATTTGGGAAAAACCAAAATCTCTACCATTTCTTAAAAAAAAAATCCTTTAATTTGCAGCAACTTTGTAACATGTCTGGATTCCTGTTATAGAAATAGACATTTTGAAAACGATTATTCCTCAGCAGACACATGAAAGTGTATGTTTTTGTATTGGCACTATTAGCTTTCATTACAGTATTTGTGCCAGGGAAATGAAGTCTCTAGCAATATTGACTTTTGTTTCTGAATTTCAAGGTTTCACATACTAGAGTTACAGGAATTTTAAACTTAAATTCTCCCCTTTCCCTCAGGAACTAAGAAATAATTAGAAATTAATCTGCAATATTCCTCATCTTTTACCAATTTATTGTATAGAGATAAATTCCTGCTTTCTAAATTAAGCATTCTAAAGTTGACCAGCAATTCTTAGACTTTCAGGGTTATCCTTATTTTTAAGATACACTGGATGTTCCCCATGAGCAATGAGCCATACATATTCATGAGCAAGTTACAGCTATTAAATCTTCAGCATCTTCTAAGGTATCAGGAAAGGATGCCACTCACTTACAGCAGGCTTTTGCAGGGAGTCTATTCATTTTAGGAAGTAAAGACCTGATCCAAACCCCTCTGAAGTCAATGGAAAAAGACTCCCATTGACTACAATGGGCTCTGGATCATGCCCTAAATCCAATCTCTTCATTAACGCAGAATTAATAATAAGATGTCTTTCCAGTAGCCTGGGGAATTAAGGTCCCGGCAATTTTGGCTGAACAAATTTCACTTATGACTGCAGTCCACTGGAAGTGGAAAGGTGAAGCCAATGTCTTTTTCAGTGAAAACCTTCTCTGGGGGCATTTTCCATTCCTAGATATATTCAGTCCCTTCATTTCAGTCAGATTTCTCAGGCATCCTAATGAGAAAAGAGAATAAATGAAGCCAAAGAAACACACACTGTCCAATGCACAGTTCACAAATATTATATAGGCCATGATCTAATTAATGAACATAAGCGAATCAATGCTTTCAGAGAGATCAGAGTAGAGCCTGACTACAGAGGACAAACTAAAGGATTGAAGCACAGGTAATTCTATAAGGTGGGTTTTTTTTTTTAACCTTCTTTTTAAATTAATAGACGAGGCAAGATACAAAGATTCTCAAATACTTTTCTCAGTTTGTACAACAAAATGGATTCAGTTCATAAATGATGAAAAGTGGCAGAAAGATATTAATATTGAAAATAGTAATAACACCCTTAAGTTCTCTGAACTTGCAAATGTGAGTGGTGAAATAACATTATAATAGTACAAGTTTTGACAGATAGTAAAAGAATAGAACTACTACACTGTTATTAAATCAGATATAAAAATATATCTATATTATGATCAGTTTTATATAAAATAAAAATATTAAACAAACATATTCTGTACTTTTCCCATTTAAAACTTTTACTTCTGATGAACCATTGGACATTTCATTATATTGCTATTAGTAGTACTTATTTTTTAACCTTGGCTTTTCATACTGACAGTAAGAACTGTTTTGAAGTTGAAGCCTTTTTTTTTTTTTTTAATTTGTAATCAATTTCTCATTGTTCCACTACAAAATAACCCCTAAACTCCCATGCTCTTTATAATAAAGATCTTTCTAAAGTCATATTCTACCTCTTTAAAAAAATCAATGGGAACTTTACCATAATTTTGATAGGTTTTACTCTTAACAGAACAACACATTCACTGATCAATAAATGGTTGTATGGATTCTACTGTTCTCCAGCAAAGTCAGTGCAATAGATTAGTTTAAATTAAGTCTTCAGCTAAAGAAAAACTGCTTTTGCCTTTGCACCAACAGAGAGACTTTCACTTCAAAAGTTTTACCAGTCATTTCTGCAGTGCTGTTTGACCACTCAGTTTTAGCTTTAAACATTTATATTTTTCAAATGTTATTCTCATAACATTTATACTAATTAACTTCAGATATAAAAAACAAGACATCTTGAAACTCTCAATCAAAATATCCCATTTTCCCAGAGTAATAAATTTATTTAGCATAAGCATAAGTACAACCTTGCTCATGCAAGGACGCACAAAATACAAACAGACCTCAGGTTTGAGTCCTTGGTATGAATCAACTCAGACTTGCATGTGTCTCTCTCAGACACTTGACAATTATAATCTGGTTTTCTGGACCTCTGTCTCTTCATTATTGAATTAAAAAAAAAAAAAAACCTTCAGATGTGCTGTGTGCTGTAAAAGAAACTGAAAGGATTTTAAGATCTTGATAGCTTCTGGCACAGGAAAATCTATCATGTTCTAGAGTATAACTATAATCAGTTTTAAAACTCACATACACATGAGCAATTCCAAAGAAGACCACACCTGAGATAAATGTTTGTGACATCTGTATTTCTTTTTCATCTTCCTCTGACAAGTTCTGGCCAGAAATATCACCTTAGCTTAGAACTCAATATGTAGCAACACAAAAGCTAACCCAAGTTGCAAACTTGTTGAACAAATGAAGTGCAAAGCCTGTTTTCAGTTTGCTTCTCTCCATACCCTTTCCCATCACTTCATTCTTGTGTAAATTAATATCTAATCAGTCCTATTTCATTCAAACTGTAATCTCTGAAACTTCATGGAAGAAAGGATCTCACCGCCTGGATCTGATGAAAACAAGATGGAATCTCATGCAGTTTACGTGCTGTTGGCTGAAGCCAATATAGGCCAAAGAAAATTTCATATATATTTGTTCAAATAAAAGCCATTCATTCATTTTGATGTGTTTTTCAACTTATCTAAGAGTTAACATTTATCACTTTCCAGATTAAAGATATGGCAATAATTGGCAAGATCAATAGACATCAAAGCTCCTTGAGCAGGGCTTAACAATTGTTTGCCTGAAGCATATGTAGCTTGGCTACTGAAATTAGCCTGGGTCATTGGATTATCAGTGCAGCCTTGATCTATGGCTCTCATTTCATTTAACTGAACAAATGTTCAATACCTGTCCCTAGAATCTCACACTGACACTGAACACAATTCAAACCCTGGAAGTTTGTCCAAGATGCACAGTCCAAGGTAGACAAGTTCAAGATAGACAACTTCCTCCATAGTCCAAGACGGACAACTTCCTCCATTAATTTTCAGGTGGAAAGACAAATCATTAGACAAGATAAAACAGCTCTGCTGGAGAGGATCTTCTCCTAGAGAGACTCTCACAGCACAATTATGTTTTGAGAAAAAGTCTTCCTTATTCTTACTGTATCTACAGCAAGGAACTTTAAACATGCAGAAGGACATTTAACTACCCTCCTCAGAAGGACTGGTTAATGTTGTAAAGACATCTAATACAGTATTTAAGTTAGTTTTAAAGTCAACAATTAGACAAAGGTTCTATATATTAAATTGGTTGTTTTCAACTGTCTTTCGATACACGTCTCAAGCAACAGTTTCAGACCAGTCCTTAGCGTTCCCTAGAGAACTAGTGAAATCAATAAACACAGCCATAACAAACTCACAAGATAGTTTTGTCGTTAGAAAATCTTCCAAGCGACCAACAGATTAATTCATACAAGGAGTGGAAGTCTTGCATCTAACATCATAGAATACATAATTCAAGATTTTAGAACAGAAAATTTAGATTTAATTACATTGCATGGCCTTAAAAGTCACTTGTTACTTTTGCCAAGTCAGTAGGTTGAATGGGATTTTATTTTCTCCTCCTCTACCTCTTCTATTCCCCTATGGTTATTAAATCAAAGAAAATAATTCTATTTTTCATTAATTTCAGATGCCCTACAAAAGTCTTCAGTTATCATCTTACATATACCAATATACAACGCATACTTGCACAGAAGAGAGACAACTGCTGATCTTCTGCTCTTGCTTACAAGGCCTAAGTCAGTAATTGTAGTGCAAAATCTTCACATACACCAAAGTTATACTTTTCAGACGTGCACCTGAAAGCATGGTAATATACATATGTAAAAATACTAGCCAGGCAATACTACTGGTGCATAGTCTGCAAGTACACGGTCACTA